CGATGAGGGCAAGAGTATAGGCAGGGAGGGGACCAAGGCCCAGAGATCATGGGCTGTGGCAGGGGTGGGGAAGAGAAAACGAATTATCCAGGTAGCAGTGAGGTCTCTGGGTCCTGGGGGTCCTGTTGGTCAGTTGCTCATCTCACATCTCTCGCTGGAACCCATACTGGCTTTGTCTCTGTCTGAGGAAACACACAAGCATAGCCTTGCCCTCTTGTTAACAAGGGGGCAGGTGGTTGCCATTGACATGTTATGGAGCCCTTCCATCTCACTAGTGGCAGGGGTGTAGGCCTATGCATGATAGCCCAGTGTTTGTAGGCCAGGCTCAACCCATTTTCATTGAAGGACAGGAAGTTAATGCTGAATAGAGCTTCAATTAGAGCCAGGTGTGGGTCCCTTTTAGACTCAGGGGTAACAAATTTTTGTAATGTTTCTTTGAGGGTCCTATTAGCCTGTTCCACAATGGCTTGTCCCTGTGGGTTATAAGAGATGCCAAGGGAGTGGCTAATTTTCCATGTTGATAGGAATAATTGGAATTGTAGAGAGGTGTAAGCTGGCCCATTATCAGTTTTTAGGGTCCATGGCACTCCTGTTTCCAGCATTGCTGATTTGACTGCTTTAATGGCATGTGAGGCCTTTTCACCAGTTTGAGCGATGGCGAAAAGAAAGGAGGAGTAGGTGTAAGCAATGACATGGACATACTTAAGATTACCAAAGGAGTTATAATGGGTGACATCCATTTGCCAGAGTGCATTGGGTAGGAGACCACACAGGTTAACTCCATATCGATTGAGGGGGCCTAAGGGAGCAAGGGGTGCACATGTAACGCTAGATCTGCTCAGATGTTTGCATTGAGATGTGGGTAGGTTGGGTAGAAGGCAGTGCCGACTGCGAGGAGAGAGATGAAATTGTTGGTGTAAGGCTCTGGCTTCTTCTAGTAGAGGAATCTCTACAGACATAATAAGTTCATCTACTTTGTCATTTCCCTTCATCAAGATCCTGGGGAGCTTGGTGTGTGACCTTATGTGGGAGATGTGCCAGGGCCATTGTCTGTTATCTAAGATAATCTAGATAGCTCTCATCATTCTAGTGATGGGATCCTTGTGGCCTTTTACTCGAGCAAAGGGAAGACACCGGAGAGCTTGAACCGCATACTGGCTTTTGGAGAACATATTTAGCATCTCAATCTGGCAGACTTGGAAGATTTTTAACAAGTCCAGGAGCTCCCCCCACTGGACAGAGCCGGGATTGGCTTGTATGTAACAGGTGTCATCCTTTCCCATGCACTGAATGACAACACCATAACGGGACTTATTGGCATCCAAGAAGGCTAGTGTGGCTAAAGGTAGGGGTTTTTTGCAGGGGGAAGTATGTGGCAGAGTGGTGATTTCCAAACAGGCCAGGCTGGCCAGTCACTTATCTGGGGGTGTGTGGTTATCCAACTCCCCCGTGAACTCAGACATCATTAGTTGGAAAGCCAGAGAGTCTGCCCATAATGTTTGGGAATGCTTAAGAGGAAAGGGCAGTATAATTTTGTCAGGTTCCTTTCCGAATATGCGCCTGGCTGTTTGTCATGCCTTAATTGCTAACTTGAAGGCAGTATCATACTTTGAGCTAAGCCTAGTTAGGTCTGAGGTAGCCAGGTGGATCCACACCAGGGGTTCTTGCTGCCATAGCACCCCCCAAGACACCATTTTTAGTCCAGAGGATCAAAGCCAGTAATGATTCTGCTGGGTCATGACGTTGGAGTGATGCAGACCAGAGTTTATGATCTATCTTATTAAGAAGATCCTTAGCTGACTGGGTGAGAGGGATCCTTGAAGTTGGTGAATTATGGCTTCCAGTAGGGAGAACAAGGCCTGGAATTCCAAGTCAGGGACCGGTATAAATTGTTCGATCCAGTTTATAGTCCCACAGAGTTCTTGGAGCTCAGTCAAGATATATACAGTTTTTTGCAAGATGGAAGGGTTAAGCAGTTTAATTACTGTACTACAATATGATGGGATGAGGGGATAGCTCTAGGGTGTGGTAAGCCCACTTGTAGCGAGCCCATCTTTTCCATCTGGGCATTGACTGCTCTAAGATCTTGGAGGAGTCTGTATTTCCCTGATTTCTTTTTAATAACAAATATTGGGGTATTATGTTGACTGAGAGAGGGCTCGGTGTGGCCAAGCCTCAATTGTTCAACTACCAAATTTTTGAGGGCAGATAATTTAAGTTCTATTATAGGCCACTGTTCTACCCAAATGCATCATTAGAGAGCCAGGTAATTGGGATCGTCTTGGGGGCCAAGATTGGAGTCGATCCTGGGTGGGCAGTGGCTGTTAGGATTGGGGGTGTTGGGCAAGGTGTTGTCCTTTCCCTGATAGTCCCAAGTTATCGTGGAGCATGATGTCATCATAAAAGGTGCAGTCATCCATGCTGAGGAATGCGCCCATGTCCTCTAGGATGTGTCGGCCCCATAAGTTATGGGGAACATCAGCTACTATGGGGGTAACTGTGCCCTGGTTCCCATCCAATTCCTTCCAATATACTAGACATCTGACCAGCTTGGTATCTTGTTTTCCCCCAACTCCTTTTATTGGTGGGCCTGGCTGGTATTTCCAATGAGGGAATTTAAGGGATTCAGTTCCTGATATAATGGTGACATCAGCCCCTGTGTCTACTAGGCCCTTTATGGCAGTTCCATCTAGGAACAGGGTCATTAGTGGGGAGTGGTTGAGGACATAATATCTGTTTCATTTCCCCTCTTGTGTTCAGGGCTGAGGGGCACCCCGGGTGGAGTTTAAAGGAGCCAAGTCTAGTTGAGGCTGCGACCTACAGTCTTTAGCCCAACGGAACCCTTTTTTGTAGAGTCTCCAAGGAAGCGGTCAAAGCCTCAATAGGTCCCGCCCTAGGGTCTAAGTCTTTAGTAGCAAGTACCCATTTGTGAATGTTATCATTGCGGACAGGATTACAAGTAGGGATGTTTAGTCCCTCCCAAGTTAACTGTTTGATAAGAACCTCTCAGGTGGGTCCAGATTCCACCCTCTGCTCTACTGCCTCGGTAACATGGGTAAGGAAGTCCGTGAAGGACTCCCCTGACTGTTGAATCAAATTACAGAAAAAGACTTGTGGGTCACGG